TAATGAAACTATAGTTCATTTTGTTAATCTGGTAGAAGTTACTGTGTGTGCACTGAACCAACGATTAAGATGCTTTCATTTGCTGAACTGAAATACGAGTTAATAGGGGTTTTTTTTTGTAATGTCTGGTCTGGTATTATATTCAAATCTAATAAAAGGCTTTAAATGATCGTCAATGCTACTGGTATTCATTTAAACAAAGGTAAAAAAATTTCAAGTTGGTTTTCTTTTAGCACAACACAAATACTATGTCTTTAATAGATAGCTGTTTTTTGGTGGAAATTATCACCATGTGTGAGCAGCGTTTGTTGGTAGAAATTAGTTCCATCTGGGGAGCCTTTCCAAGTAGAATTTGGCACTACGTGTGAGCCTGTTAAAAGATGGTTAAATATGACTTGAAATGACATCATTAATCACAATTAATAATCATTACCTTTTTTAGAAAATCTTAAATGATATTTTACTGAAGAAAGTACTTTAAATGTTGACAATACCTGTGGGCTGGACAGCCAGTGAAACCTCTCCTCCAGCATATTCATAGTAGCATCAAAGTCATTTAAGAACATGTACCTAAGGTTGGAATCATCAACAACATTCCACTGTCGTCTGGCATAGTGGTAGCTGTTACCGTTACCTGGTCTTGGGAAGTCAAGCCACTCAGGATGTCCAAACTCATTACCTATTTATTAAACAAAATTGGTATATTTTCTACCAAACAATTATTATTATCAATACATGTTATTTAATTTATTGAAAGAAAACAGTTGTACCTATAAAATTGAGCCATCCCTCTCCTCCAAGTGCGTGTGTGATTAGTCGGATGATTTTGTGCAGTGCCATTCCACGATCAATGACTGAGGTTAATTCTGTCATCTTTGACATGTTTGTGTACATTTCTTTGTCCATCAGCCAGAAGGCTAAGGTTTTGTCGCCTACTAAAGCTTGGTCATGGCTCTCGGAGTAGGCAATGCTTTTCTCACCATGCCTGCGATTGATAAGGGTCCATATGATGTCACCCACATTCCAATCTTCGTCTTTCACCTCTTTTAATAGCTTGAGATAAAAAGTAGAGCAGTGCTCAACATTACAATTGTATTTGGTTCTGGTTCTGGTTTGGATAAGAAGGAAGTTTACACAATACCTGACAGAATTTTATAAAACAAGGAAGAGCATGAAAAAGTTTTGGCAAGTGTTAAAAGATGTGTTACCTTCTTATAAACCTAAAGAATAAACACGCTGCAGAAGATACAGAGAAGAAATTAACTGCATTGGTCCTGGTCAGTTATACTTTTAATTAATATTATAAGTCAATCGTGACATCATCACTGCAACTCCCAATGTTATTTGCCTATTCCCCACCGTCCAATAATTTTGCAATTAGTGGACACTTGGCTTGATTTTTTTAGGTTCGTGTGCAAAAAAAAATCCTCATTTTTTCGTCACTGCGCAGACATCGCGCACTGCGCTGAAAATTGAATTGTAATTGAAAATTACTTTCGTAAAAACAAGCTTAATGAGGATCCGAAGAAAGTTACTTCAAATTCAATATTAAGTATGAACAAATAAAGAATTCATTGAATCAATGGTCCCTCATACACAAAACAAACTGAACGTTTAATAGGAATATTCTAGACCTATTTTAAAGACTCCAGGAACAGATTTGGATGTAGGCCTACGTCCAGGCAGGAGGACTGCGATGAAAATAGAATTTTAATTGAAAATTACTTTCGTAAAACAAGCTTAATGAGGACCCGAAGAAAGTTACTTCAAATTCAAATTAAGTATGAACAAATAAAGAATTCATTGAATCAATGGACCCTCATAAACACAACAAACTGAACGTTTAATAGGAATATTCTAGACCTATTTTAAAGACTCCAGGAACAGATTTGGATGTAGGCCTATGTCCAGGCAGGAGGACGTTGAGGCCTCTTCCTACTAAGCCGTAGCCTAACCTAGTTATGAAATCGTCGCACGATTTTTACCTGTCTGCATGCACCGACCAAAAAGGTCTGTGACTGTATTCTCTCTCGAATGCTTAAATGTTTATTTCTTTGACGAATGTCTATCAAAATAGCATTACAAACAAGTTCTTTCTAAAACAATTACAATAGTTATTCATCGTACTGGTACTGTTATGCACTGCTGATGTGTAAACGCGTACATGCTCAGGAACACAGATCAGCATACGCACAGCTAAATGTAAATACACACACCGTATACTATCATATCACTATAGCAGCCGATGACTGCTACACTAGTTGGTTTATCAAAGACTAAAATTAAAAGACGGTGATTGACTTATAAAATAATAAAGATAGAAGTAAAGTATGGTTATTCCAAATGCTTGCTACAATATATTTTTGAAATTTATAATGTACCTTGATCCACTTGTCTGGAATGCTCATGGCGAGACGGTAATCAAATCCCCCACCACCCTCCACTACAGGCCTGCACAGTGCTGGCATCCCAGAGACATCCTACACATAACAGTAACACAAAAGATGTGAAAGTGTCATAATTAACCATTAATAGATGTAAGTATCTCATTAGAATTAAGCTCACACTAGCGGTTGGCTGGTTGGGCCCTACCTGTCAGGGAGCCACTGTAAAATCTGTTGGGTGTGGGGATGAGACATGGTGGGGCTGTGGTGGGTGTGGACTCTGGCTTACCTGTCAGGGAAAAAGCTTGGGCCATCCCTGAGTTCACACCATGAAATTACAAATAAATAAAGTAACAAAAATACTAAAAACAAACCTCCGCAATAGTGATGCATTCTGGGTAGAACTGATGCAGCATGTGATTGGCTAACATCATGTAGACTAGTGCCTCTGTGTCTGTTCCAAGACCAAAGTATTCTTCATAGGAACCACTGAAACTTGATGCTACATAACAACAAAATACTATAATTCTTGAAAGGAAAGGATCATTTTTTCACCATTACAAGATGGCGATAATAGTAGAGGAATGTATTTATAGCATCTAACACTTCAAATATCACCTACAGGTACAATAATTTTATTCATTTATTTTGGGTGACCTGATCTGTGCAAAAAGCATTGTTATCCTCCAGGGGCCAGCAAGGTGATGATGATGGTAAAGCCCTTTAAGTTACACCAAATGAACATTTAAAATCTCACCTATGCCATGATGATGGTAAAGCATTGAGGTTACACCATCAAACCTATAACCATCAAACTTGTACTCCTCCATCCACCAACGTAGGTTAGATAATAAAAACCGCAATACCTCCCAACTATAACAACAATTACAATATAATAATTAAAGTATCAAAGCAAGGTTAAATGAAATAATAATAATAACAATAACAATAATAATAATAATAATAATAATAATAATAATAATAATATATGCGCTAAGTCAGACATCTTTTGTGTTATTTTCCCCTTAATGTCGTTTTTTAATTGTTCTCCAATTTCTCTATTGTTTAGTTCTCCTTAAGGTAGGTTTTAGTAACATAATAATAATAATAATAATAATAATAATAATAATAATAATAAAAATACATATGGATTTATAGAGTGCATATGCAAAAAGCCTTTATGCACTATACATTACCATGATAGTGATGATGATATAACCATCAATAACAAACATTAGTGACTTACTTTTTATAATCAAAAAGTCTACTGTCCCACAAATTGTGAACACCCCTATGTCCAGAATGGAAGAAGCAGGAATCAGTGCCATCCAATTGGTTTAAACCATCTAGAACATTTTTAGCAGCATGACTGTGGACAACATCAAGAAAGATGAC